AATATTTGCTCCTTTATACATATTGTCTTCGGGTGGGCCCCACACGCAAAACCCTCTCACGCGTTTTCCCCTTTTTTTCACGCATTTTTAGCTGGGGTTGGGGAGGTGCTCGTGGGTATGATGGACCCCACTTCACGTGCTCCAACAATTCTCCACCTCGGCGAAGTTTTTCCCAAAACTGAGCCGACACCGACCAAATCAAATGCCTCACTTGTTGTGTCCAGTACGAAGTGAAACAATTCACGACAACGGACTCAATCCATAACAAGTCGAGAACCCAAATGAGAGTGCAAACACTCTCCAAATATCGGTATCAACTCACCAAATCGATCTCACCCCCATCAAATAATCCAACCCGGCTACATCATAAAGACTGCCTACATATCCTCTTGCCCAAGGAATCAAGCCGAACGTAGTTCACCCAAATGGCCGCAAATGACCTCAATCCAATAGAAGAGTTCGCAACCCTTCTCCAATATCATCAACTCTGCGGCTGATAGCACCTCCAATGGCCTTAAACACCTCCACTTGAGGTGAACCAATGGTCATATTCAAACTACATCTATCAGCTACACTTGAAACAAAACCCAACTCATCATCTGCATCCAAAACAAATTGATCCCTTAACTGTGTCACCTCAGCTGGAATCCCAAATGATGCAGTATGATCTGGAGTAATCTTCACCCAATATGGAGTAGCATCACTCTCCACCCGCTGCGATACCTCTAAGGTTGTCCAAAACTCTCCACCTGCTGAGAGTCAATTGGCTTCCTCATCGAAGCCTCAACCAAAGTGACACTACCAGACCTATCTTCCAATAGAGTTTTACCTTCAATCACAGCAGTTGACAACTCTTTAATAGGATGACCCAAATATGTCAAAGCCTCTGTCCAGAAACTCTTCTGCAGACCATTGCTTGACAACAAACACCGATCCTCCTCCAGTAAGGCACGGTTCTCCAAATTTGCCATCCTATCTAGCTGCCCCAAGATTTCCTTTCCAACGAAGTGTCTCGCAATGTCATGAGCTCGGCTCCAATACAGAACAGGTCCATCTTGTACCTCCCACCAGAATGGAGTACCTTCATCTTTCTGTCTATCACACACTTCTTCAAACTATTGGATACTACTAGGACTTTCTCCAAAGGGGATTTGGTTGCAACCCAAACACGCCTAGAACAGTCACCAACAAAGGAAATCAAACGCCTATTACCTCCCAATGATGCCCCCTTGGAAGGCCCCCAAACATCCACGTGAACTCCTCCAGAACGACCCTTAGCACGGTGAATAGATGTGCCAAACTTCACATCGGTCTTCTTGCTCACATCAACATGTTCACTGGACTTTAAATTGCAGGTCTTTACACCCTCTTTCAATCTATGCGAAGAATCAATACTGGAATGGTCAAGCCCTAAATACTGCAATCTAGTCGAATCAATAGAAGTCGTCAGCTCTCCACCTGCCACTATACCTCCAGTCAAGTAATACAGGTTATTTCTCTTGACGCCCTTCATCAAAATCCGAGAGTCTTCCACAATCTTGAGAACTATGTCCTCAATTCGAACATTCAGACCCTCTCCAACCAAAGCTCCAATCGAGATCAAGTTCTTCCTCAAAGAAGGAACATATCTCACATCATTTAGCTCCCTAACAGTCCCATCAAACATTTTTATACGAATTCTTCCTATCCTAAGGATCTGGCATGCACGGTTATCAGCCATGTACACCACACCACTATCCACCAGCTTCTCAAAACTGGAGAATCATTCCCTTCTAGGGCACACATGATAGGTCGCACCACTATCCAACATCCATTCAGATTCCTCCGAATAGCTATCTGTAGGACTGATAGAAAGCGAATAAATAGAAGAGTCAGAATTATTACCATCCGATACAATGTTTGCTTCTGATGATGGTTGCTTCCCTTTTCCCTTCTGCTTATTTTTCATCCATTCGTCGAGCTTTGGGCAGTCTTTCTTCCAATGACCAGTCTCCTTGCACCAAGCACACTGATCTTTTCCAATTGTAGGATGCCCTACTCTAGACTGTGACTTCCAATTCTTCCGGTTCGGATTCTTCCCTCTTGCGACCAACGCCTCTGCTACCGACTCAGTCGAATTCTCCTTATCCTTCTTCCGAAGCTGATAATTCACCAATGCAGCAGTGACCTCACTATACGAAAGTGATGCCTTCCCATTAATCAGAGTAAGAACGAAGGTCTCATATTCCTCGTCGGGCAAGGAACTCAACAACAGCAACGCCTTGTCCTCATCTTCAATCTTGACATCCACATTCGCCAAATCCGCAAGAAGCTTAGTATAGTGGTTCATGTGATCTCTAATGGAGGTTCCCTTCTTCAATTGGAAACGATAAAGCCTCCTCTTCAAATGCAAGTGATTTTTCACACTCTTGGTCAAATACTTGCTTTCGAGAATCTCCCAAATCTTCTTCGCAGAAGTCTCATTCATCACATCATATTTTAGACCTTGAGTCAAACAAGACCTAATCACACCACACGCCGTTCGATTCGTCTTCTTCCAAACCTTCTCTTCAATCTCATCTGGCTTGCCATCTAACTCCAAGGTATCCTCCAAATTCTGCGCGTTCAGCGCATCCAAAACCTCGCATTTCCATAATCCAAAGTTGTTTGTGCCATTAAATTTCTCCACATCTATCTTCATAGAGTGGATATTCAAACTCTGAATGGTCTTCGCGCCAGAAGCACCAACCTCGACACCCGAAGCACCTTCTTTCCCTGACATCTTACGCACCAATGAACGAAGAATAGATCCAAAACTGAAAGGATAGAGTCTTTACCAAAAGATCCCACATTTATCACCAAAAGAAGCCCTAGACGAGCCTCCAAATTGATCTACTCCTCCAACGAAATCCTAGATCTGGAATCTGGGCTCTGATACCACTTGTTGTGCGCAGCGGAAATTTCGGCAGAGTTTCTGGTGCACAATAAGAGAGAAAGATCGATAAGAATTCTTGTTTCTCAAAGGGAACAAGAATCTGAAGCCTAATATCCCATCAAAGTGGGATATTAGCTCTTCCTCTCGTCAGCTCTAGGACTGCGCGTCGAGGGATCCTAAAAACTATTACAATGGCCACAAATTCAAACAAACTAATTTTACGTGGTTCGGCAAACTGCCTACGTCCACGGGGCAAGGAGGGGGAGATCTACTATTAGAGAGAGAATACAAAAGGTTTACAATCTCACAAACTAAACCCTCAAACTAACTCTCTAATCTCTCACAAAAGCACAAAAGGATTACACAGAAAACTCCTCTCAAAGTCAGCTTTGATACAGCTGCTTTTCTCCTCTGCGCGAATCCCCTTGCACCTAGCCGCCGCAATTCCCCTTTGCCTTAGCTCTGCAGCCGCCAAAAGTTCTCAGCACCCCCCCTCAATTGCACGGAACCCTAGGCTCAAATATTTGCTCCTTTATACATATTGTCTTCGGGTGGGCCCCACATGCAAAACCCTCTCACGCGTTTCCCCCTTTTTTTTTCTTTTCACGCGTTTTTAGCTGGGGTTGGGGAGGTGCTCGTGGGTATGATGGACCCCACTTCACGTGCTCCAACAGAATACAGTGTCAATATCATTTTCTGAAGTCATGCACTGTATAAACATGAAAATGAACGGAGTTATTTAAAAATTTAGCTACAACCGATGCTCGTCATACTCTCTGTATTGAACTCATTTCTAATTTGCACTCAGAAAAAATCATAACCATACACTAGATAATTTATGGTTGTGATTAAATAGTGATCTCTCCACAACCTTTTCGATAGTGGAGAGAATCTGAATCCTTTTTTTTCCTCCTTTTTGTTTTTGTGTATGAGTGTGTTGTCCATCTACCACCTAATTCTTTTTTTTTTTCATTTCTTTTTCTATTTTTTAGGCGGCCAAAATGCAAGTGGGCATATATGTGCATCCACCACCTAATTCTTTGTAATTTATTTTTTTTCTTTTGTTTTTTTCCCTACGTGGCCAAAATGCAAGAGGGCATATATTTATTCTCATAATTTTTTCCTTCAGGTGTGCATGAAACCACCTTATTCTTTCCTTTTTTTTCATCTTTATATATATATATATATATATATATATATATAAAATAATTTCTCAAATACCAAAATTCTAGATTTTATTAGCTATAACCCACAATTTTCTGCCGTTGTTAGTCGTTTCTACCCATTGGGAAACAACTTTATGGAGTCCAAGATTCTTAAATTCAGGAGCTATAACCCATTATTTTTTGACCATTTTTGTTATTCCGGCCCATTGGCAAATAATTCTACGGAGACCTAAATTTAGAATTTCATGAGCTATAACATATAATTTCTGGTCATTTTTATTAATTTTGAACCATTGGCAAATAATTTCGTGAAGGCCAAAGCTCAGAATTTCATGAGTTACAACTCAAGATTTTTGGCATGAAGGCCAAAGCTTAGAATTTCGTGAGCTACAACTCAAGATTTCTGAAATTTTTAGTCATTTCTATTCATTAACAATAATTTCAGGAGGACTAAATTCAAGATTTTATAAGTTAACCAACAATTTCTGGCCTGTTTTAGTCATTTCCACCTGCCTGTATTTATTCATCTATTCACTATTCTTGGTTCTTCATCCATACACTATTTTCCAAGAAACTCTCGTCTAAACGTTCAACAGGGCAAACCCTTATCTATGATCGTTAGTTTTTTTACAGGGTTTTGTTCTTCAAAAGTTCCAATAGATGTTTGTATCTGCGTAAACCATAATCGTATGAAAATAACCCTTGCATACAATTTTGGGGATTAAATTATACGCATAAAGAATCAAACTTCATTTCAACACTAACAATTTCTTTACTTACCGTACATAATGAAGTTTTTGTGTTGACGCAGTTTCTTAAAATTGTGTCCATGATGGAGGCTTTTTCCCCCATCTCAAATTTGGCCTAATGAGAAATTAACCAAGCGCACAGCCTATGATGACACCAGACAAATCACATTATAAAGATCACAAGAGGATACATTCTTTATTCATAATTAAGACAGGTTTAGGGTAACATTCAAGCTTAAACTAAGAACCGGGATAAGATTTTCTTCTTAATAGCCTACAAGATACATGAAATAAATAACATTACACAGGACACATCACACTGGGTTGGCTTACGACGTGGCTAATAAAGCCACACAAAACTCATTAATATTCAAAGGAAATCTCATGCGGTCAAAAGTTACACCTTCAACTAGATAAATAGATACTGGCACATTGATCATGCCTTATTAGGTCAATGCAGAGCCTATTTCTTTTTCGCGATGAATAGTCCCCATCTCTGCTCGCCCATCGAACTTCTCTTGAGCTTCGACTTCCAACCGTTGACAATTTCATCATAATCCTCCTGAATGACATTAATTTCAAGGAAAATGAAAAAGAAAGACAGTCGTGCGTAATAAATTCTGCTTACAGAATCATGCAGACCTGTGAGAAATCTCTGATGAATGCATCCTTATCCTTCTCAGTTGCATCCAACTCCCTTTGCAGAACTTTCAGAAACTGAGGTTAAAAAAATCATGAAATCAGTTTGGTTCATACAAGAAATATCAGTTTGGTTCATACAAGAAATATCAGTTTTGTGCACAAGTGGAAATGTTTTAGAACCTGTTCTGTTCGGTCTTCTGCAATAACCTCATGAAAACCAACATCTTTAAGCATCTGGCATGTCAGTAATTCATGAAATAAAGTCAACACAAAATTGTTTCTCTTGAGAACTTTGAGAAAATTTGGGTACAAATATTAAAGGATGCTTCAACTATAAAACTCGAAAACGATAAGCTAACCTGGCCATAAGCTTCTACATCATGTAAATCATAACCCCTTTGTTTGATATACTCTGCGAATTCTTCGGATGGCCTCCCAGACTTCCTGCAGTAATCACTAATGAGAACTTTTCCACCTGGTTTCAACCACTTGAAGAAGTCTCTGAATAGTGCTGGCTTATCCTGAAGAACATTATAAGATGGTTAGAGAACACCATAAACACATATGTTTAGTGAACAATTAGTATTACTTGATATCTTGAGGCATAGAAACTGCATAATCTCATTATTGTTGTGAAAATATGTTCAACTTGAAAGCCATAACAAGGTATTGAGCAACACTTGAGACATGTCTCTCAATTACGTATGCCACAATCTCGACTTTTCTACCACATATTAAATAGCAAACCTTATCAATATTGGATAGCTAATGTTAGCTATACCTTGATTCAGTTACTTAGTTTTAAGGCCACTCTCTTAAACTGCGACCTTCCGCAGTACTAGTTACAGAAAACGAAAATTGCTTTATTCTTTGATCAAGATGAAGTTATAACTATATCTAATATATCTAAGAAAGATGCATGTGCGTGCGCGTATAAATCAGAATTGCTTTCTTCTTTGATCAAGATGAAGTTATAGCTGCATCTAATATATCTAAGAAAGATGCGTGCATGTGCGCGCGCGCGTGTGGGTGGGTGGGTGTTGGACTGTACAAATATTAAACCATCAACCATAATGCAACATTATGACAAGGATACTTATAAAGGAAGGTTCAACTGAACATTTCAAACTACAAAGAAACATTTGCCATGTTCTCCCTAAGATCATCATAATTTGCCAGAAAATTTGGCAAAACAATATGAACCAATTCAAGGTTGATAAAATAGGAACGTTTGTAACTTAAAAAAACATGCATGTTTTTATATATTTGTTCAAATATAAGATGATATAGATCAAAAAACAAACATATCAAAACTAATCAGTATTATTCTGAGTTGTGACAATAACGAAACAAGATAAACAACAAGAAACAAGATAGACAACAGCAAGTAGCAAAAGGCTCAAACAGCGTATACCTGGATGTGAAGGATAGTATCGCGACTGTAGATCACATCAAATGTGTTATCCGGATAAATTTTCTTTGTACAATCAGAAACTTCAAATTCCACAGAGCATTTACGTCCGATAGCCCGTTCAAGTGCAAAAGAAACCATATTGACAGAAAGATCAATGCCAATCACATCAACATCAAAATTTTCAGCCATATAGAAGTCACCACCGCCAATGCCACATCCCACGTCAAGAACTTTTTGCCCTGGCTTAAGTTCAAGTTTTGCCACAAATTCCTTCGTAGTGTCTAATCACCAAAAACCACAGTCAGAATGTCTGATAGAAATGTAAAAGGAACATGAAACAAAAAAGAAACATCAAATTTAAAAAGGACTTGAACTGAAATATATAAAATGCTCACAAGAACTCTTCTACAAGAAAATTTCAGTAGTAAGTTAATGCAAATTAAGTTATCTGTTTCCCATTTTCCTTTTTAACATCTTAAATCAAAGTGTTAAACAATTTATTAACACTGGAAGTCTTAAAACTCAATTTTCATAGACTAGATGTAACAGCACATTATATCATCAGGCTCAGATTGTAAGACACACATACCGATTCCTCCAGTGCTCACAAAACCTTCTCCAAAAACACGTTCATAGCGTAGTATTCCATTGGTCTTGTATTGTACATTGTCTAGAAAACGTTGAAATCCCCTGTCATCATCTGATTTGACCTTCTGCCACATCCAGCAGATCTGCAAGGTTTGACAAAACATAAAAGATTAACATCGATTAACATCATTACTCACAGAGAGGGAGAGGAGGAAATTGAGAGGGGACCTGATTCTGGTTTTTCTTGTTCTTGACATATGCTCTAATGCACTTGTAAGTAATTAATGAGAGTTCAAAGGAATTCCCCTGCTGATCATAAGCGTGGCATTCCTTAAATACCTACATTAAGAAAAAGAAAGAAATGAGAGGTACGAGTGAGCTTGCAATAATTTAAAGAAAAATATAAATTTAATAATTATATATCGACCCTCAACTGTTAATTGATAATGTATGCTGAAATGAGAACTACTTGCTGAAATATTCACAGAAAAATATATCCTCGTCCAGCAAGCTGAATAATGAGCCAGCTGCCCTCGGGGGAAATTCACCCAAGTGGATAAAAGGATACTGGCAAAAGCGATGAACATAGAGAGAATTCACTGTATTAATTCAGTAACCCTTATTCAGTGTTATAGCCTACTGTTTCCACTAGGTTTCCTCTGGTATCAAAGTCGTATAATTAAAGCTATTGTTTTACCTGTTTCTGATATGCTGTAAATGATTTTCTAAATATTTCATCAAATAGCTCTTGTTTCAAGCCTAGATTGTCTATTAACGGTTGAGGATCGATATTATTGTATGTCTTACTTTTAGAATTTTGTTTAACTAATTAAACATATAATTTGAGGCAGCCAAAAGAGTAAATAATATCGACTCCATGTATGTTTCAAACCCCATGGGGAAAAAATAAACCAAATATATGATGGTTCAGACAAAGGGAACTTCACATATTACCTTTGTATAAAACCTTGGCTCGCGATAGTGCGTAGGGTTGACTTTCCTCTTAGAATCTCCAGATTGATGGAAACAAGACTCCCTGAAGAAAATAAACCCACCAACTTTCAACCATTTTACCATCCTTTCAGCTAGCTTTTCAACCTTTCAGAATACATTTGAAAAAAGAATCAGTAGATCTCATGAGGACTCAATGAAATATGAATATTAAGTGGAAGATGAAAATGAAAGAAACTATTCAGACTCAAATTGAAAATTATCCAAACTAAAGCATACAATTTAAAAAAATAACTACAGAGCAAACCTCAGGACTAGCAATGCAATATAGGAATCCGTGTATTAGGGCTACATGTATAGTCAAGATTGATTCAGAAGACTATAAATTTGTGAAACAGAGAAAGCATCTGTGGATGTCAAACTGATTCCCAAATTCCATTTTTCCTAAAAAAAACATATTTAATTTCTTTCAGGCTATGAACAAAACTATGATGTCTCAATGGTGACATTAATGTTTTTTGGATAAAGATTGGATGCACATGGCTACACTACATAAGCATCAATCAGTATAGTGTTCTACGAAGCAGAGTGCAGATATCAACATAACAGGGTGGAGAAACACAAAGCAAATTCTAAAACAGAAGCACACAATGTGGCAGTAGTGCGGTAGAAGTTTCAATCAGAGCAGTGCCTTAAAGAAGAAAAGTTTCCATATAAAATTCTACGAAGCAGAGTGCAGATATCAACATAACAGGGTGGAGAAACACAAAGCAAATTCTAAAACAGAAGCACATAATGTGGCAGTAGTGCGGTAGAAGTTTCAATCAGAGCAGTGCCTTAAAGAAGAAAAGTTTCCATATAAACATCTCATGATTACGAACTTCTGAAAATAAAGTGCAGTTCGCAGATTGGCTGTCTTAATGTGGTAAGAGATCTATTGGATGTTACAAAGCAATCGTCAATATTCAGAAATAGCTCACCTCGATATCTGATAGATACATCAGCAACCAGTTTGAGAAAATCAAATCCACAGATTCCGGTTCAATTTGCAAGTCTGGAGATGTTACATCCGCGCATTTAAAGCTTGCATTCTCGAAATGTCCATTTATACTTTCGTTCTGTATATAACCACAAAGCAAGAGTGGAGTATAGACATACATGCATCAACAGCTAGCTTCATGGATAAAAGAAGAAAATGATTACCTTCTTAATCGCACTTTCAATGAAATCCATAGCTAGAATATGACCGGCTTCTTTGGCCAGTTCACCAGTAAAACGACCAATACCTGCCCCTAGTTCCAAAACAGATTTCCCTTTGTATGGTGGAAGTAAAGAAAGGACCTACAGAAAGATGGCGAGGATTAGTATCAACTTCATGCATTATTAGTATTAATTTCATGCATTATTCTTACAATGATATGTCATACTTCAGATGCAAGAGTAAAGGAATGATGAACGAGGTGGCTCTCAAAGGAAACCTTTCCACGTGGCATTTTACTTTAAAGTTATCCATGATGAGAGCATCAATAAAACAAAGTCAAATGGTGAGGAACTTCTGATCTTTTCCGTCCACAATTTTTCCTAATACTTGATGCTCTGATTAGCAATTAGCATCTAATTCCCATTAGTAGACTAAAATATTCATTTAGCGTCTCAGTGACTTGGGTCAAAGGGCATGAAAACTTAGATTTAACTTGGTTCAACCCACTTGAGGTTGGGTTGGAAGTTAAGAGATAAAAGAAAGAGGGTATTGTTCCAACTTCATCTTCAACTGTGGAGTCATCAAAGAGAGACAAATAACTGAAAGAGGGAAATGAAATAAGATTTGATCATCTTTGTGTTGATTGTTCAATATTCCACATCACTTAGGTGATCTTTACATGATTGGATCTTTGTACCTTGTAGAGAGGAGTTACGACAGGAGAGTCATGAGTTCTGAACCAGTGAGGTAAACCCTTGTATTATTCATTTAATAATTTGTTGGAATCTCAAGCTTGATTAGAATTTTGAGAGGAGCTGTACATTGTTCTATTCTTGTTTATATAGTGAAAAGTTTCCTTCTTTTTAGTTGTGTTCATTGTGGTTGATTGGGTGTTGTTTTATTCCATATTTTGATTCACCATACTCAGCTTGAGGTTTGGTTCTTCTTTTATTCCCAACCTGTGACACTTTCCCAAGCCTTTCCAAGGTGAAATATTTGTTCAATGATTTCTACTTCAATGTTGGAAATTGAGGCCTAAGTTGTCATCTTAAAACTGACTTATGAGAAAACATAGTTAACAGGTAATACAAAATGGAGGATCTTTTTGGATGAACAATTCAAACCATTCATCTTGATGTAATTCCACTATGTGTACCAAAGAGTTGACTAAAATTAACTGATTTCTGATTCTTACATCTCTGGATGATCTGGACCCTTAATCCTAAGCTCCATCCACTAAATTTTATATAAAAAGCCGCGCAATTTAGAAATTCATACCCCACTTGTCAAGTGACGCGAAATTAATTTTCAGTGATGGAGCAAGTATTAACAATTATGAGTGGGTTAGGATTTAGGAATCTCTAAATCTGAATTTTCTACACTAGCTTTTCTAGAAAGATTGTCTGGATCATCTAAAGTAGACTCCTTTAAAATAACTGCCTACTCGCATGGTGACATGACATCTCAGTATCTCAGGTCCCTTTCCTTTTAGAAGTTTGGCTTTCAGTTTTACTGACACAAAAAGGATCGTGCGGAAAGAAATAATATAACAAATTAAGAAAGAGTTATGTGAAGAACAGGGGGCAAAATGGATTCTTTCCTTTTAGGGGCTGTTTGGTTCGCAAAAACAACCCCCTGAAAGCCATTTCCACCCCCTCTTTTGCTGTCAGTTTTGGGCTTTTTTTTGTTTCATGGGTCTGGTTGGAAAAGTACGAAGGGGAAAAAATCGTCGGAAAACAGCTTCATGTAGGAGAGATGGGAGCTTCCAATTTCCGCTCTAAAAGCTCGGAAATGGCTAGAAAACGTCCACTTCTCTGCGCTCTTGTACTATACTCTCATCGCTGCTCCAACTCCAACTCCTCCCGCGCCTTATTTTTCACCTTTACGCCTTCGCGCCTCACTTTCCCTCTTCTTCTTGTCGTCGTCCCTCTCTAATGCCTGCGATTTTTTGAGATTAGATTGCTGGATCTTGAAATTTTAGGGCTTTTTGACTCGAGTATTGATTTAGGGCCTTTTGATGATGGTGCTCGATCTTGAAAAGGCTTGACGGTTTTTGGGGAATCTCTAATTTTTTTGCTTGAGTTTGATAAATTTTGGGAATCTCTGATCTTTTTGAGATTATTGTTGGATCTTGAAAAGGCTTGATCTTTCTTGGGGAATCTCTGATCTTCTTGCTTGATTTCGACATTTTTTGCAATTTCAAGTATATTCTCTCATATTTTTTAGAGAATATTGTTGGATTATGGTTGGATCTTGAAAATTTGGCAAATTTGGCAAATTTCGACAAATTTGGCAATTTTGACAAATTTGCTCTGATCTTCTTCGACAGATTATTGTTGGATCTTGAAAAGGTTTGATTTCTTGCTTGATTTCGACAAATTGGCAAATTTGGCAATCTCTGATCTCTAATCTCCTTGTTGTTGTTATAGTGTTTACTGTAAATTTGGCAATTTCTTTGTGTGCTATCTGGTTGATATTGAAGTATAATTTGGTAAGTTTGATGCATGCTAATTTTCCTCAAATTTGGTAAATTATTTTTGCTCCTAATTAGCCATATAACTGTAATTTTGTATAACCTTTGATGGATTGAGAGTATCCTATTTATATGAGGCAAATGTTATCATATTTTATGCTATGATGATGGTCTATTCTTAAGATTTGCAGCCAAAGTTTAAAACAGTAACATATTGGCGAGGCAATTTCATGATGACAATGCTTATTATGTAGGGTCATTACGATAATTGCAGCTAACGTTGCTATTATAAATTTCATGGCGAGGCAGATAATGAAGAAAATGGCCTTTTCTGAGCAAACTTTTAAAAAAATGTAAACTAGCCCCTCAAAATTTTAAATATGGTGGATAGTACTTTCACATTCTCCTTTTTTCAAGATGAACCAAACTAAGAAAAATGTTGGAAAATACTTTCACCCCATATTTTTTGGCGAAACAAACACAAAAAATACTCTCCATGAAAATGAAGGAAACACAAAAAAGCGAAGGAAAATCATTTTTGGAAAATGAAGGAAACGAACCAAACAGCCCCTTAAAGAATATCCTTTATGTAGGAACAGTTAAAGAAAACATTTCAGCTGATAACTTTTGCTACCCTCTTATAAGCACTGCTTGGATTTTTAGTGACTCAACCACTACAGTGCAATAACAATCAACACAATTTGTCCAAATGATATCTATAACATGCAGATGCTAGTCCATATGCTACAAAGCAAAGATTTTTCTCTGAAATTTGCATCCAATGTAGCGAAAATTAAAATGCGGGTGAAATTTTCATCAGATCTAGCTGCTTCAGAACAAAAATAACACAGATCAACTCATTACCTCAGGCCTCTCCTCTTTATCAAGATCCGAGGCCCGCGAATCAAGCATCATCGCCTCAACCGACAGATCCTTGGAATGCTCCATCCAGTAGCTTTTCTGAATCTCGCGCTCCGCTTCCCCTGCCATTTTTCAACCCAAAAATCTCAAAAAAAAAAAACGGAAGACAACTCAGATCTACACTATCAGCTCAGTTAACTTACCCTGAGCTGCTGCCATTTATGAAATCTGGGTAGGGTTTTCGAGATCTGAACTAGGCTTTTAGATAACTAAGATCCCTCGATCGCGAGTCGAGATCTTGAGAAGCTCCGGGATCGACGGTTGTAAGATCGCCCTTTCTGATGCATAAGCCGCCGCCTCCGATTACCGATGCGATTGAATCGGGAGAAGGAATGGATCAACGAGCGAGGCTGACGAGGGTTTATATAGGGGTTGTTTGGTTCAGTAGCGGGCAAGAATCCGTTTTTTTTTTTTTTTTTTGGATTGCTGCTTATTTCATAAAAAAAAATTAAGGCAAGTTGATATATTTATTGATTTTTTTTTCTTTCTATGTTTGTTTCATAATATGGAAAAATAAAATATAACTTTATAGAAACCCTCTAATTCTTAATTTTTAGTTTGATTTGCAATGAGAAAATTTTTGAATAAAGAGTGAGTACACCACAATTATTCTTACCTGTTTGACAATTTTCAAAACCAAAACACTGAAGCATCACAAGCTCCAGCAATTTATCAACCGATAGCAACATAACCGACAGCCAAAAATACATAGCTAAAGAAACATAGCTAGTGCAAAGGAGTTACACAAGTTCATGAAAGAGATTCAAAACTGATAGCAACATAGCCAAACCAAAGGGGCTACACGGGCTCCACCTGACAGCAACAAAACCCACCGACTGAGGCAACACAAGCTCATGAATGAGCTTCAAAACCGACAACAACATAGCCAAAGTAAAGGAGCAACACAAGAGTGAAACATAACAGTAAAAAAACCAAAGCAAATGAGCTACACAAGCTCCACCTGACAGCAACAAAACCGCACAAACTGAGGCAACACAAGCTCATATGTGAGTTTCAAAACTGACAGCAACAAACCTAGAGTAAATGAGCAACGTATGTTCAACCTTATAGCAATAAACCCAAAGCTAATGAGCAACACAAGCTCCACCTGATAGCAACATAGCCAAAGCAAAGGATCAACACAAGCTCAAAACCTGATAGCAATAAATCGAAAGCAAAGGAGCAACACAGACTCCACCTGACAACCAAAAACTCAAAGCAGAGGAGCAACACAAGAACGGATCGAGAAGAGGCGTGAAAATGACTGAGATGAGGCGGGATAAAGATTCGTGGGAGAAGCCGAAGCTAACAAACCCACCAAACCCACCAACAGAAATCGAACCTGCCAACCGAATATCAAGTTCGAGAAGGGATCACCGACAACAATGGTTGCGCCTCATCTTCGAAAAGTAAATCGAAGAACAGCGGGAGAGGAGGCACGAAGAAGATTGAGAAGAGGCGGGAGAAGAATAAGGAAGTTGTCGATTCCAGATCTAGAGTTCGTGAAGAGACGGAATTTGAAAAAAAAGAGAAAGGGAGAAAGTACAGCTTGTGTCAGCTTTTTAACCCAATTCCTCTAAAAAAACTAGGATTTTGGTTTCCATAAAAAGACCCTACTATTGCAACTTTATGGATTTTGAAATCTATAAAAAAAATTGAACAAAACTCAAGATTAGGAGTGATAAAGAATCTTTTATTTACGGTTTTATCCCTGACAGCTCCAAATCCTATTCTTTTTCCATAAAATGAGTGAAACAAACACCCCCAGAGTGTCAGAGGTAGGTGGTGACTTGTTCAAGGAGCACCAAGGCACTAAGATCTAAGGATTGGGTAGTCCATAGCATCCCTTTTATTTTTTTCGCTTTAGTCTAAATAGATTATTTTATTTTAAATATTAAAGCCTACTGATCTAAATGTCACATATTATTGCAGATTTAAGAGGTGATAGTTTTCGTAGATAACTTAATACATATAAATTATCCAAAAAAATTCCCAATTTTACGACCAAAAATTCACATTTATAAGATAAGAAAATGTTATTTTCAAAAGATCTCTTGTACCTCAAATAAAAAATAACCCTATCATTCTAATATTCATATTTTTTTATTAAAATGTTTCTTCTTTATTACATCTTACCAAAGTTAGTGTTGATGTTAATGTGATCACACAGTCAGTATGTTCATGTTTGGATAAGATTGTTGAGGATTGATGAATGAGCCACTTTATTCTCTGATTTTATGTCTGGTTCTTTGAACAGGGAGACGAATCTGCACAAGTAGAGTTCGTAAGAGGATGAGGTTTCGTTCCTCTATTGTACCTCCGATGATCAAGTTAGATGATGAACTTGAGTGTGGTCAAAATAAGAACTGTGAGAGTTCTTGTGTGTAGTGTGATTGTTTTAGGATCAGATTTGTAACTCCAGATCTAGATTAGAATCCAAAATCCCAGCCCTCGATCCCCTGATCCCCCCTAAGTTGAAATAGTCACTAGTAGAAAACTATGCTTCGCTGACGGCAACATCGCTGACGGGACTTTACCGTCAGCGATGTTTATATTGCTGACGGGAGTTCCCGTCAGCGTTGTTGCCGTCACAAATGCCTTATACCCGTCGGCGATGTGGTCATCGCCGACGGGAAATAAACATCGCTGACGGGAAGCCCATCAGCGATGTTTGATATAAAATGTTTTTACCGAGCCCCTCTCGTTGTTTCTACCATAGTAAAAAACCCTAATTTCGTCGCCGCCCCTCTCAACTCTGACTCGCCGCCGGCCTCGCCCTCGCCATCACGTCCCGCTTCTCCTCTCCGACTCCACCGCCCTCGCCATCACCTCCTGAACCCCAGTCGACTTCACCGCCCGCCGCCCTCGCCATCACCTCGCTATCACCCCCCGCGACGAGCTCCTCCTCTCCGACTCCACCACCCGCGCACTGAGGCCTCGAACCCCGGTCTCGGCTTCGTTTGCCCATATCTCACGGTGACATACTATTTTCTAAAAAATAATTTTTATCTTTTAAAATTTGTTGGTTCTACTGATATGTGATAAATTTAGAATTTTAAATTTATTTGATTGTTATAAATTTTAGAAGTCGTTAAGCTTAATTTCATGTTTGCTTTAAGGAAATATTGCAAGAAATACGAGAATCCATTACATTAGGTAAAATTTCTATTACTATAAAAGTTTTCGTCTATCATTTATCATCTGTTACAAGGTTGTAAGAACAAGTATTTTTTGGATTTTATCCAAAACCAAACTAAAAAAAAGAACTATCGGGTCATCATCAACTATATGAAAAGGATACACGCATACTGTTGGTAATATATAATGCATGTGTTAATTTGTGTAAACGTTCATAATCATTAAAGTCAAATTTTATTTTATTTTTCTGAGGGTACTTGAGTATTTAATTACTAACTAGTACTGTTTGTAAAAAAATATAAGTAAATTTTATTTTTTAGTTTCTCAGAAGATTATTATTATCTTTCCTAATATGAAGATCAAAATAAGGGGGTTTTCTGATATTTTAAAAATTAAGGTGGGTTATCTGATGATAGTCCCAAAGTTAATGGGGATTTACTGATATTTAGCCTTTATCTTAACTGAAAATTTTGATTAGTTATATATATCGAGATTGTATTGTGTTATATATCATGATTTTATGAATCGAAAGTTGTTACCCCTAGTTTCCCGTCTAATATTGCTAGATGTGAATCTCTTCTGATATAAACTCACGCAATTCTAGTTGGATGTGAAAATACTTTTTACATCTAAAGCAATTCTAGTTGGATGTGAAAATACTTTTTACATCTAAAGAGAATAACGTGATTTATGTTAGGAGCACGATCTACATGCAAGAGAATAACGTGATTTATGTTAGGAGCACGATCTACATGCAATAATTATTAGATCTGTCCGGGGAGGATTTCCCTTCTCGTACAGGTTAGGAATATAGTAGTGTATCGTCTATCTTTGTATACTTTATGCATTTTTATTCCTACAAAATTTTGATAACACGTACTGCATTGTTCTCCGTGTACAATAAGCGTATGTTGTTTTGCGTATCGATCTATAATCGATCTATTATCGATGATTGATACGCATTATAACATCCGCACAGTGTACTCGGAGAATAGCGGGTAGGTGCTGCCAAAATTTTTAAGAAATAAAAACGCATAAAGTATATAAAGGTAGTTGTAGACACTACTATATTCCTAATGGGATAGGTCCATTTCCTATGACAGCCGTTAAAGTCTCTTATTGAAAATATGAGTGTTAGATTTTACTCCCACATAATTTATGTTCTGGTAATTTTCCCTCCGAGATTATTATAATTTGAATTTTCTTGATGTCGTGAAGAAAGTTAATATCACAAAATCGTTAATTTGATACGTTACTAATAAAAATTCACATTATCTGATTATGCTTAATATCATACAGATGAGGATAGTTCCTGACAAATCATGGATTGATATTCCTCGTATTGATAGATGGAGGGATAGTCGATATAAAGATGGAATAAATTAATTCATACAGTACGCCTTGGCAGACCCACGGAAGTTAAATAGTGATGTTGTGTATTGTCCCCGCTGTTGGTGTAAAAATAGGGCATTGGTGGATAAAAGTGATTTACATAAACACTTAATATCAGGATTTCATGAGGAGTACAAATATTGGACGTTTCATGGGGAAGGATGTCTTGAAGAAATGGAACTGATGACGGATACCGGTACGTCCGGTGGGAGAATAGATGATACGAGAATAGATGATACACATACGATGCTCGCGGATATGTTAACAGTTCCTAATATAGATCAAGCTGAAGATGCCGAGGATGCTGACAAGTCAGGAAATGCTGGAGGCGTGACTGATCATGAGGAGCTGGCGCAGATAATGAATATAATAGACGACAATGAAAATGATCTGTATGAGGGTTGCACCGAGTTCACCAGGTTATCATTTATACTGCGTCTTTTGCGTATAAAGTCTCTTAGCGGAATAGCAGATAAATATTTTAATATGTTGCTTGTGTTACTGAGAAAAGTCATTCCAAATGGAAAAGTGAGCATACCAGAAAATTATGATAACGCAAAGAAGATTGTTTCCGTTATAGGACTTGATTACAATAAAATCGACGCATGCCCTAATGATTGTATCCTCTACTATAAGGATAACAAAGATCTTCATGAGTGTTCAATTTGTGGAGTATCACAGTGGGTACAACACAAAAATTATTCAACACATGGGACACAAGGTCTATGCTTAAGCAAAAGAAGATTCCAGCAAAGGTCCTTCGTCATTTTCCCTTAATACCAAGGCTAAAACGGTTGTATATGAATAAAGACACTGCTAAGCA